CACAAAACAAGATCCTGTCCTAGCATCATTCAATGTTGACAAAACATCACCAATCGACGAGTCACTGTGGTTACTAGACCAATCTATTGAAAAAGGAAATGCAACAACTGGAACCATTCCAAAAATCATTCATAAAATTTATATTGAGGAGAAGGGAACTTTTCCTACATTGGACAACATGAAGCGATTTGGGTCTGGATCACTGGAAAAGGCTCATGCGTCATGGAAACACCATAATCCAGGCTATGAAATTAGAATGTATAATTTACATGCGTGTCGTGATTATTTGAGAAAGTATTTTCATCCAGTCTTTCTTAGAGCATTCGATTGCCTCCAGGCATTCTCAAATAAAGTCAATTTCATGCGTATGGCCTTGGTATACAGAGAAGGAGGTTGGTATAGTGATTGGAAACAAGAATGTCTACAAGAAGGGTTGCTTGATAAGCTGGCTTCAAATGTAACTCTGTATACGGTATGGGATCGCGGTAATGATGTCAGCGTGAGAAGAAAATGCATGCAGAACAATTTCTTTGGAGCTGTTAGAGGTCATCCATTGATTGCTATCCAGATTCGAATAATGATGGAGCATATTCAACAAAAATATTATGGACAAAGTACGTTACATGCAACGGGACCATGCGCATTTGGGATGGCTTTTCAAGAATACGAGAAAACATTTCCAGAGCTTAAGAAATATGGAAGACATGGTTATCATTTGGGTGACTTGCAAGTTCATTCAAGTCCGGTGGCAAAATCGGAATCTTTAATTCTGCACAAGTGTAAAGGATGTGGATCTGGCCAAGCGTGGTTAGGCGGAAATAATTACAATGACTTGTTTGCAAAGAAAGCATACTATTGTGCAGATGCACCATCCATCTTTTCTTCTGTTGAGTAAGAGTTTTATTGAGGGCCGACTCACGTTTGAATTTGAGCCATGATCAAAGTTCCATCACCTGTAAAGATAGCGGTTGAACTAGAATTTGTGTAATATAATACTATAAGTATTAGGCGAGGTATTTTACTACTCTGAAGACAATACTGAAGTTCAGCCGTGTATTTAGGCTGAAGATTTTCATGCAACCGAAGTTGAAGACTGAGGTTGCATGAAAATCTGAAGCCTAAATACAAGACTCGAACTGAAGTTGTCTGAAGAGAGGCTAAATACCTGCCTTGTATTTCTATATGTCCAAGTTATGAAAAATAGAAGTTTTAACAGTCCATTCCCATTTCAGTCCCAGTACCTTAAGAGAGGAGAATTTCAATTCTGTATGATTTGAACGTTACTCTTTTTAAATAAGAGTGCTTATGTTTCTTCACCAACAGCCAAAATCTGCTACAACGATCACAAAAAACTATTGCATGACCACATTTCTTCATAATTTTCATCAACATCCATTTTAAAACCTTTATTTACATTACGAAACAAATGCACGAGAGCATACAAAAGGTATGAAAACAGCTATTTCTCTATATCTTGTTCCTACTTATGATTCTTTTTACTTCTATAGAATGCATGGAAAAAGGTTTGCTAGATGAAGTGCTTTGGAAGGAAGGAGCGAAGTTTGCGGAACGAATCAAGTCGTTAACTAAGATGGTACACCATTTGCATCTGCATTGTATCTGGTACACGCAAGAAGCTTTTCGAAGGATCAAAGGAGAAGGATCAAAGGAGAAGGATCAAAGGAGAAAAGGAGAAAAGGCGATTTTCTATGATTTGATTGATATGAACTGAATTCTTCCTGGACTTGTTGTTATTTGACGATGCTACTAAATAATCATGTCTCTATGCGCTTGGTAAGTGAAGTCATATTTTTCTATATTGCCTTTGATTTAGAAATCATGGCTTATTCTAACATATCTTGTCTCTTTTCCTACCTTTTTGCTTCTCGCTTGCTATTGCGTCGTTTATTTGTTTCCGTTGAATCTTTGTGTTGTTGTTGCGTCTCTTTTGAATATGTAAAAAACGTAAACACAAATAAAATAAAGAGAGAAAAATCAACCAAAATGCAGATTTCCGGCTGTGTATTTAAAACTGAGATTTTTCAAAACTCGGCATATACAATGTGAATATGATATACTACAATCTTATATTTTTTTAAAAAGTATTCTGGATATGTATGTATGTAGAGTAGCAGCATTTACGAGATGAAGGCATTATTATTGACAAAGATGAGACAAAGATGTGAGATGTGAAGGTTAAAAGATGGGACTCAAAATCCATTTTTTGTACGTACGTAGGACTAACGGTGGAGTCACATATCCTGATCTGACACGGTACTTGCTACGTCGGTCGCGAAAATGCGAAGAATTTTTCTTAATCGTTCGTTGTATCACTAGCAGCTCAATAACTATTAGCACGGCAGAACTGTGACCGACGAGAGACCGACGAAACAATTGATTCTTTGTTCTATTTCCATATTCCAGCCTTTTGTTTTTCTGTTGTTCTACATAAAGGCTCGTATTCCTATTGATCCTACTCGTATAGTAATCAAGTTTAGAGCGGACTTGAAATAAGTTTGAAAATGGTTAAAATCAGAGTAAATAATTCCCAACAACTTCGAGGCATACATTCAAGTCAGAAGTGCCTGTTCTGCCTTTTATCAACTACTATGTTTCTAATTGGGTTACTAGGAGGAATGCAATATTCCCAATATAATACTATGAGTAGAAGTCTGGATACACCAAAGAGTCAGACTAAAGTGACAGTGAGTTCATCCATTCCTAGCAGTCCATCCTGCCGTCCAAAAATGGCTCCAAGACCTCTCAAGAATAGGAATGAGTTGCCCCAATTATTGGAAGATTTTAAATTCAAAACAGGGATTGAGATTGGAGTACAAGAAGGGAAATTTTCAAAAATTGTTCTAGATACATGGAAATCGTGCGAAAAGTACCATCTAGTTGATGTGTGGGCACAGCAAAAAAATTATAAAGATCAGGCCAATGTAGACGATGCCGCCCAGGATAAACTATTTAGGACTACAAAAGAAAATTTGAAAGAGTATGAAGAAAAGGTGCAGATTCATCGAATGTTTTCTACAGAGGCTGCAAAATCTTTTGAAAATGAATCAATTGATTTCATTTATGTTGATGCACGACATGACTATTGTGGAGCTAAAGAAGATCTTGAATATTATTGGCCTATTTTAAAGCCTGGTGGAATAATGGCTGGACATGATTACAATGAAAATAGTGAAATTGGGAGTCAGGATTGGGGATTATGTGGAGATGGATCACGAAATGAGCTAGCCGTGAAAGGAGCAGTTAATGAGTTTTTCCTCCCAAAAGGTTTGACAATTAGTGTGACATACTACCGTGAGCGAAATTTTATGTCTTGGTTTGTTCAAAAACCTTTGTGTTAGTACGATTATAGGATTAAGATGGAGGAAATTGATGAAATGGAGAGACCTGTCGGAGAAGAGGTCTATGATATCAATACTCCCCAGTAAATATAGAAACTGTATTGTTTTTTGTTGATCCATCCACCATGTTCTCCATCATAGCGCATCAAAGTTGCTGATTTGTTGAAGAAGTACCAAGTGATTAAAATGTACACTGCAGCTTCAAGGCATGAATGGAAGCATTACTAGCGTGTTTCAAAGATGAGACAAAGATGTGAAGTTTAATAGAGATGCTACTCAATGTCCTTTTGTAATTTTGTTCTTCGAAACTCCATGCCAATGCTGTACAACAGCGACGGTAAAAAGAATGATAAAACAATGACAATAGATAACTAATACATACGTAATCTTGTAGGCTTGACACATGTGTTGAGAAACAAACTTGTAGGATCAAGAATGAAAGCATCATATCTCAAAAATTATGTATGCTCGCTTTTGTTCCTTGTAATGTGGATAAAGTGGATCAAGAGAGCGGGTCAAGACAAGCAATAGCAAAAGGAAAACAAAATACTTTCTTTTTCTATCCCTTCGTGGGTTGCTCTCTACAGGTCCTATGTATGTCCTAATCAATCTTTCTTTGTAAAATTGCAAAAATACAATGCTGAAAAAGACAAAGGTTGTGATGTAATTTACCATCATGGTGTATGTTTTCAATATTCTGGATATGCAGATAGAGTTGTAGTATGAGTAAAAAGATTGCTGACAGTTCCAAAGATGAGACAAAGATGTGAAGGTGAAGAGATGGGACTCAATGTCCTTTTTTCATTTTGTTCCTCGCAAACTCCATGTGTCATTTCTAAATGCTGTCGGTCTCAGTAGATGTGAATTAGCAATAAAAGATAAGGAAAGTTTGCCTCCGAGGGATTCAACTTGAGACAAAAATGTAAAGGTTAAAAGATTGGACTAACTCATGCCATACGTACGTATGTGAATTGGTTCTTTTCAATGTATTCCAATGCCATGTGATGGCATTCAAATAGATGGAAAAAAGACAATGCTCCAACAATGACAATGGATAACTAATGCAAATGTACTAGTAGTCTTGTAGGCTTAGTCTTGTAGGCTTAAAAAGTGCGCAGGGATCAATACTACAAGGTCAACAATGAGAATACCACATCTCAAGATATAGATGCTCAATGGAATTCGTTCTGGCAAAAGCAAAAGCTACAAAAGAAGGGTGGTGGCATTGATGCCTTTCTTGGAGGATTATGCCTTCTACTATTCTTTCCCATGGCATCTAAATTTGTAAAGGATGAAGAGAGAGTGATTGGATTTTGATTTTGAAAAAGTGTACGAGTTTTGTGTGAGAAATTCGATTCGAATGAAATGAATGCACTTGAAACACTACAACCCAGAGTGCTGAAGATAATAAGAAACACAATGAATGCTCTTTTGTAGATTCGAATAAGAAGTAAGGTACTAAATACTGCGTACAAACTTTTTTCTTTTTTCGATACGGTTTCGCGCGTTGAAATGTTTGATGATTTTTAGAAAGTACTTACAGTACATTCACAAAGTGTGAATATCATTTGTTTTCATTATTTCAGGCATAAAAACATGTGGATGAAGCTGATCAAGAGCGGTAAAAGCAAAAAGAAGGTCTTCCGATACAGGGACTCGAACCCTGGTTTGGAACGTGAGAGGCTCCTGTGATAACCACCTACACTATATCGGATGTTGTTACAAGACGTATCGATATTTGCCTACATAATTTGTAATTTAGGGCATATCATGAGGCGATGTACCCATTACAGTTTTTGTAAAAGTATGATCGACCATGCTACAATACTAGATGAAGATGAAGTTTTGTCAGAAATATTGAATCATCTTCATCTACTATTGTTGGTTCAGAATAATCATCAATCGTAATAAGTGAATGAGTGGCGGACAATTGTCAATGACGTCATCGTCGAGATTGGAGATTCTCCGCTCTCCTCTCATCTCTCTCATCTCTCTCATTACTACTCTTCATTCCATTTCAACAATACTAATGTTTATCAACACTGCCAACTTCTTCATATCTACAAATATCCTCCTCTTCCTCCTCCTTTTGAACAATTTCTCCAATGGATATGTATTCACAGGAAAAAAGGCGCTCGTCACTGGCTCCAGTGGAGGTATTGGAGCTGAGATTGCCAAAGAGCTTGCCAAAAAGGGATGCCGAGTCATGATTCATTACAATTCTCGATATGAAGGTGCAAAAGCAACGCAAAAGTGCATCCTTGACAACGATAACATTTGCAATGGTGTCATTCAGTGTGATTTCAGAGATCCATCCAATATTCCTAAATTAAAATTATCGATCAAGAATGGGATGGAGAAATTGATATATTGGTTAACAACGCTGGTTTGATTACTAAACTTGCTGCGGAAGACGAAGATGACGATTTTACTTCATGGATGGATACCATACAAGTGAATTTGAATGCTCCATATCAATTATCCAAACTTGCATATGATAGGATGAAGAAGAAGAAACATGGAAATATCATCAATGTCAGTAGTATCCATGGAAGTGTTAGTTGTGAATACATGGTTGCTTATGCATCTAGCAAGGCTGCGTTGGACAGAATGACTGCTGGATTATCATCGGAATGGGCACGAAATGGTGTACGCGTGAATTCGCTAGCCCCAGGAATCGTTCCAGTGGAAAGGACACAAGATATTTTGTCTCAACAGAGTATTCAAGATTTGTGGCATCCACACCTCCCAGTTGGGAGAATGGGAACGACTCAAGAATGTGCACATGCGGTTGTCTACTTGCTTGAGAATGAATGGACAAGTGGAAGTATTCTAACATTGGATGGAGGAATGACTGCTAGAATCAACATGCCGTTCCGACCCAAGCCAGAGCCTCAAGGTAAAGAAAAAGAAAGTATTACAAAAGGTGCAAGTTTTGAAAAATAAATTTAAAAGTTGCCCTTGCTAAGAACGACCATATTATATATGTATTCATATCTTACTGCTTGACAGCAGGAGGCTCATAGTCGTCATCCTTCTTATCACGAGATCTGTTTGAGACATCCTTTTGACTTCCAAATCCAGATCCTTCTTGTCCCTGATACTTTTGAACATCTTCTCCTTCAAAAGCTCCAATATCTGCATCTTGTCCAGTAGTCGCTCTCTTCTTTTTTGCTGGCAACAATACCTTATCAATCAATCCATATCTAACTGCTTCATCACTGCTAAGATAAAAATCACGCTTCATATCAGCCAACACTTTCTCAGAAGTCTGTCCAGTCATCTTCATCAACTCAACCTCCATTTTATCATTCATCTTTTTCATATTTGCAACTTCCAGTCCAATATCTGAGGCTTGTCCCTGAAACGGAGTCTCCATTCCAGTTCTCTGAAGCAAAAATCTAGCATTAGGCATTGCACATCTCCTTCCCTTTGTTCCAGCTCCACAAAGAAGTGCTCCCATACCAGCACACAGTCCAAGGTTCACAGTAGTTATTTCGCAATTTTCTCTAGTTTGCATAAGAAGATCGTATACTGCAAGACATGGGCGTAAATCACCACCAGGTACATTGAAATAGAGAGTAATTGGTCCTGTTGAGTCCTCTTTTCTAAGATAAAGAATAATGGATATGATTTCATTCGCTGCGTTTTCGTCAATGTATTTTCCAATCATCATGATACGGTCACGGTAAAATCTCGAGTAAATGTCGATGAATTGTGCATAATCGGAACCAGGTGGCTGTGACACGAAGAAAGGTTATGAGTTTTGAATTATTGATTCTATGGTAAAATTAAGTGTAAACAGAAGTATGGAACGTACCTTGTATGGAACCATGGGAGTCTCAGTCGGCATCTTTAGGATATCTCTCTTGACAGCCGAAAGAGAAAGATCTGAGGATCTAACTCCAGCGTTTATTCTTGGGCCAGTGCTCAACGAAAAGGCCGAGCAAGATGCGCTGAGCATCAATAATGAAACTACACTTTTGCAAAAAGAAAACATTTTTCAATTCGTTGTTTTGGATGAATGTCCTTGAGCAGTAATTGCATTAGCAGTAGTAGAGCTTTCTTATACTGATGATGGATGTGTTGCTTTTCTTCGCGGCTGTCGCACGAAAAGTGAAGATCCACCTGTACTATCGAAGTCCCTACATAACAGTGGAGAATGATGATATGTGTCCTCAGAACCTGTCATTGACTATCAAATACTGTGATATCAGATGACACAGTGACGCATAAAGAAAGAAGGGCTTCTTCAAAATACAGAAAATGAAAACAAAGAAATATGAAAAAGAATTTTGGAAATTGCAACTCGATAATGTTGATTAAATTAGTGGTGAACAAATATATGTAGTTCAAGGGTTTATAAAGAGAAGATTGGTTCTCATGTCTAAAAATAGTAATGATACATTCATGCCTTTCTATTTTCTATAAAAACATGTTTGTACACAGTATTTTGTTTTGCTGCAAAAAGAGTATGCATTCTAACACGCTGCACTAGCTTTGTTTAGAAAAGTACTGCATATTTACTCAACCTTAGCGTAGAAGATTCCCTTAGTAAGGATCTTCTTTGGAACCTTGGATCCCATATCGGTATCTCCAAGCTGAGTAGCAACGAATACTCCTCCAATCTCGGACTCTTCAGCGTTAACCTTGTTGACCTCCATCTCGATACGTCCCTGGGTAACATCGAAAGTCTTGTTGTTCTCTCCGAAAAGCTCCTCATCTCCCTCCTCTCCAGATTGAAGACCTGGAAGAGCTACAGCCATATCGTATCCGGTGGTTCCTCCACGTCCCTTAGGGTCAAGGAAAAGTCCAGTACGGTAGGATGGAGTGTTGAAGTCTCCTCCCATCTGGAAACCTGGCTTAAGAGAATCTCCGTTACCCTTAGCAACAAGGTCCTTTACGGTGAAAAGGAAAGGAACACGCTCTCCTCCTGGAAGCTGAACAGTGGTTGGAGCGTAGTCAATTCCCTCCTTCTCCTTGAATACAAGCTTTCCTCCCTCGTTAACGAGTGGTCCCTCAATTCCCTCAAGAGTGTAAGTCTGACGAGTCATAACCTTGGAGTTTACGAACTTCTTCTCGGTCTTTCCGCCCTTTCCGATCTCTTCCTCAACAGCCCATGCCTTTGGCTCAATGCACATGTCTACAAGCTTTGCTCCAGTAGATGGCTTGATGGTGTCCTCTCCGATAACCTCAGCACATCTGTTAGCAAGACCAGTTCCCTTAACCTGAAGGTAGGAAAGCTCGTTAATCTGGGACTTGGTAAGAGCCTGAGCTGGAGCAGCAGCAACTCCTACAGCGATAGCTCCAGCAAGAGCAGCCTTTCCAAGGTTAGCCATATCGTCCTTAAGGGACATCTGAAGTCCAGTGGAACGCTGTGAAACAAGAAATCAGTGAGTAAGTAAGTTCATGATGTGATAATGTTTCAATAAAGGGTATGAATGGTGTAAAGAGAAGACTGGTCTGAAAAGGATCTTGTGGCTGATGGCTGAGATGCAGTCAAAGATATGCTGTGTCAATGAATCATCTTTCGTCTCGATTCCCTATGTTCCCTAATGTATCAATCGCATCGTCATCATCTTCTCTCTTTTGATTCTGTCACTGTCTCCTCCTCATTATAGATGGATCTTTCTCTTGCATCGTCCATATTTCCTTCATCGCTCAGTCAACGACCTCGTGCTTTCTCGATTCCAACCACAGTTTCAGTCCCCTCCTACACCATTCCCTTCTTCTGAATCAAGAAACTCACGCTGTTCATGGATGCTGGTGCGAAAGCGGTTGCGGAAGCAACAAAGATGGATGCAAGTGCGAGCTTCATGTTGACAAGTTATTGAGTATAATGGGTTATGTGAAGTAGAGGGTGATAGAAGAACGCTGATTGCTTTCGCTCTTCGATGCTTCAGGCAGTTCGAGCGAAAAGGCAGCAACAAATCTTTGGATCTCAGCCTTCAACTTGTTCAACTTACGTCGAGCAAAAGATGTCCCACGTCGATAGGGATAATATTTAGGTGGCTACGCGATATTATTTTGTAGTCATATAAGGATGGAAGGGAAAAACACCGAGATTGATGTCATGAGGGTCATTGTAACCAGAACAGTACCAGAACCAAGGAAAATAGCGGAACTCTAGTTGAATGCAAAATGGAAATGTTGTGTTACAACTACCTTACATAGGACCCAACTAACACGTTTTTCAAATAACTCATAACATAAATTGCAGCAGCGCAAGCTGTTTGATTATTATTCATAACATAAAAGGAATGGAAGGAAGATAGAATGAGGTACACGAGTATCAAGAGAGCCTACTGCTCCAAGACATTCATGATGTGTTCGCTAGTAGTGATAGCAGCACTGCATCTTCAATCACACTTGGCTTTTGCTGAAAGGTCAAGCTTGCGAGGTAGAAAACACTTGCAACGAACAGATACCTTCATCTCGAATAATTTGAATGAATCAATACTGTCGATCAAAGTCGATGATACAAAGAATGACCACTACATAATTACTTCTACAAACACTGATAGAGAAAACGTCAAGAATCGAAAGTCATCTAGTCAAATAATAAGAGATGAACATTCTTTTATTCAGAGTCATCGCAAATTACAAAAACCGGATTATACATATGATTGCCTAGCTGATTGGACTTCCATAAAATCAGCAATCATTCTAAGCTCCGTTCTCTCTCCAGACGACCCACCTGATTTTGTTCTGTGT